TAATATTTATAGTATTTAAATATGAAAAGTAGTAGAGCATGAACACTAGCTATCAAAAACAGCAGAACAAAGCTACAAAATGGCAGAGAAACAGTTTTTAAGACAGAAGTCTACAGAATTCAACAAAGTTTGTTTTTTTTAAGAATAAAAGAAAAAAGTTTGTAAAATAAGCTTAGATCGGAAAACAACATGGTAGTGTAATAGGTGGTGGCTTGGAAAGAGAACTTGGCATGCAGAGTTCAAATTATGTAAGATTTCATAATGTTCACTTTTGCACAAATATCCTTAAAAATGATAAGTGTCTATTTCTTCTCTCCCCAGTTATAGGTTAAATAACAGGATAAACTAAGCTCTCTAGATTTGATTGGCAACAAGTTTATGAAAGACAACTTTGAATTCAAAACTACACACCACTACCCCAGCAATCTGGCCTACTGTTGAGGGATGTACCAATGTGAAAAAAGAAAAAAATGTACAATGAGTGAAAGTTACAGGTAGTGATAACAACTTCATTTTTTGCCAAAATAAAAAAAAAAATGAAATTAAATCAGCAAAGAATTGAAAAATTTGTTGTGTCTGTTAAAAGCTAAAAATTAAAATGTCATTATCTTGAATTATATAATAAAAACTGACAAACAACAGATTTGCCCCACAACAAAGTTTCTCCTGAACAAGGCTGTGGAATATACAGGTGAAATCAATGAAGATTATCACAATAGAGAAATATATCTCATCTTCCAGTTTTGTGTAACCTTCTGTACAGGAAATTTAAAAATAAGAATATTATTTAAACACTTTTATATTTCTGCAACAGCATTTAGGGATTAATTTCCACCTTTTAAGCTCATTCTTGATACATGTGGAATAAGCCAGTTTTATTTATATACAATATGATTGAATAAAAATCATACTGATTATTATTAATAGTGGTTGTTTCAACACCAAGATAATCTAAGATTAACAATTCATTTCAAATGCACATAAAATAATAATTTCAGTAAAAGTGGCAATGAAGATGATGATGTTAATAATTATAACAATACAAAAACAAAAACTGAGCCTGACTTACTATGTTACTATTTGTAAGTGTTGGACGAAGGTGCAGTTGTTCAAAAAAAGAAAATGTAGAACAGCTTTTTTTCAGTTTACAGTTACCATTCAGAAAAATGAAGGTCAGATTATCATATACTAAATTGATGCCCCTATGGAAATGCAAAGTGACTGTTCAAAATTAGCAAAACGTAGAACACCTTTTTCAATTTACCTGTGCAAAATTTGCTAATTATATAAAAAAAATTTCTTATAAATTTTTTACAAGTGCCTTTGAGCTAGTTCTTACCTCCTTGGAACAATTAACTCCATCATTTGACTCAGAGTTTTATGCTATGACAAAAAAAACAAAAAAAAACGTGAATTTCAATGAACTTCAAACACCCTTTCTGAATAGAATTTGGGAAGCAAAGATTTGAAAAATTGAACTTGGACTATCAAGCCTCAAGTTATTAAAACCACTTCCACAATGTACAAATCCAGACACACAATCTTGTCACTGGCGATATAAATTTTCTCTTTCATCTATATTTCCACAGGTGAAATTATGAACATTTTATAGAGTACCCGAATATGCATTTATAGAGTATTCAGATATATCATAAACTAATTTAATGTATTTAATTTAAACACATTAGGTTCAGTGTTTGTGTGTATACATGCTCATGTACTAATTTAATTTACACACCTTAATTTTTTTTTAAATTCCTGTCCTATTTATTTCCTGGTGAAAATGTAGTGCAGTGTTATTACCTGTGCTAATGGCAGGGAATGCGATGGAGGTACAGTTTCTTTTCTCTGCAATTACTAAAGAATTTATGATAGCTTCTGAGAGAGATTCAATTTCATAATTATTTCCACCATTCCAAGTTGGGCCAACTGCATGAATAATTAATTTGCATTCAAGTTTGCCAGCAGTTGTAACAATTGTACTTCCTTCAAGAACATCCACAAGACTTTGGCCAGACATATATTTATCACATTCATCTTGAATCACTTGGCCTCCTGTTAGAAAGACAAATAATACAAGTAATAAAACACAAAATGATATTCTTGATTATGCAGTGGTGAAGCATTGATTGGTTAGAAGATTTGATTAGATTAATTATTGACTGGGAATTATATACTGATCAAGATAAATCTTAAATTTGAATATTTGGCAGCTTCTCTGATATTCTGACAAAAAGTATTTACAGTGTGATTTTCAAAAAGACTGTATTACTCAATTTTTATTTGCAATGTTTAGATTTAAAAATTATCATTTTCCCTCTCTTATATTAATCAACACCTTACAACAGAGTAAAATATCAATTTAAAGAAGAATTTGCAATGTTATTTGGTCATGACCTGGAATATCAGCTTCAATCACTTTCCCAGTGCCATCAAATAGTTTCCCTGTTTCTTTTCTATAAATACTTTTATGGTAATTGTTCTAATGGCACTTTCATTTATGGTACCTCTATGAATTTAAGTGCAATACTAGATTGACAGCAAGATCTTATCATTTTAAAGTTGAAATGTTTAGATGTAACCTTAAGTTCTATGCTAACCATTTCTTCTATTACATTTCTCACTTGTGGAACTCTCTTCTGGCTTCTTGCTTCCCAGTTAACTTTGATCTTCAGAAATTGAAATGCAACATCAATCATTATCTTCAGTTTTCTTAATTCCTGTTTTTTTTTTATTATTCTCTCTCCTTAATAAATTTTCCCCTCATATTCTCTCAAACTCAGTAACTCCTTGTGTCTTAGTAGTTTTATTGCTTCGCTTGGGGTTAAATGATTAACAAAAAAAAAAAAAAAAAAAAAAAATAATAATTTGTAAAGTGAATTGCTCTTATCATGGAAACTGACTGTGTAGTGTTCTGAATATGAAAATTATTCAAGTATTTCTGAAAAATACTTGATAAATGACTGATATAAAATATCCAAAACAGTCATCATTGTTGGCAGAACATGTTGCTGAGTATTGGGGGTGCTAATCAAAATTTCCTTCAGTGTGAAATGAGCCCTATGTTGGACCTGAAGAGATGTCGAACAGCCACCACAAAGTAGGGTAAGAGGGTATAAAGGATAGAGAGCTCAGGCTTTTCTTTGCGCTCTTTTAATCTCTTCTAATCCAAAACAGTATGTAAGATGAAATTGATAAAAAACTGTTGGATGTTTGAACATTTTATTTCCTTTTTGATGCTTCACTTTCAACAAACTTTATCAAAACAATAGAAAAAAAAAAAAAAAGCATTACCATGGCAACTCTGCTATTAAAGATTACTGTAGCTAATTTGAAAAGTAACTTTGAAAACTTTTGTCAGTGAAATTGAATAGACAAAACTGTTCAAAAGTTGTTGACACTAAGATAAAATCAAAAGTCATTTTGACTGAGGGTATGAATGTACTAGCCTTGTTCAACTGTTGATCACACTAGTTTATGTGTACTATCCCATAAATTGTAACTAAGGTAAACTCAGCTTAGTTGCAGTATAAGCCATTGGCTGCTTGTGTGCGTGCATCCATCAGTCTTACAGATGCCCAAGCATCTGCAAAACTGATGGATGCCTACCATCTGCTACACTAAAAAAATTCCATTGCAAACAGAAAATCAATCTTGATAGATTTCAAATACAGTTGGGAAAACAATAATGTAACAATAAAATTAATTTTTGACACTCATATTATAAGAAATTGATAAATATGAAACTATCAGTTTATTTACCTGGCCTAATAAAGTGTTTGTTAACAAAATATTGCTAATGTTTTGTCTTAAACAATTTCTTTTAAATAAAAAGAATATGTGTGAGATCTGTTTATGTTGAATTTTTAATTTACTAGATTTCCTAAATTAAGTAAATCCTTAAAGAAAAGTGTATTAAACTGTGTTTTGACAAAACATTTCCTTATTAATTTTTTATTTGAGTCACACAATGATACAACATTCAAATATGAAAACAAAATACAAACCTTTTCGAACAATTTCTTTTGCCACTCCACCTACATGTTTCAATTTTTTGTTAGCAGAATTTACGATAACATCCACGTTGAGTTTTGTAATATCTTCATACACTGAGATTATTTTACTGCGTCCATATTCCACTTGATAATTCGAAACTGGTTTTTCTAAAATAATGTTACTGTCATTCTCATTCTTTAAGACTATGCACTTATGTGACACTGGTATGTTTGTTAACATTGTATTTTCAGCCTTCAAGAATTTCTTGAAGCCAAATTGAAAAATGTTTCTTTTTTTTTCTTTGACATTATTAACTAGAACCTGTAAAAAGTCTGAAGCCTCTGCCTTGGTTTTTATTGTTCCTGTAATATGAACTGTTTGGTCATCTTCAAAACTAATAACAACCGGTTTCTTACGTTGGCAAAATTGATTGATGGAATCCATTTCAAATTTTTTCAGAAACTCATAAGTCCCATATTGTAGTGACAAAGTAATTGTATATGTGACATTAGTTTCAAAAAACTTTTCAAGTTGAGATCCTATTTTTGGTGCTTCTTCATTGGTTGTGACTACAGATAATTTGTTTTCTTGAATCATTTTATAACACCTATCATTTTTAACTAACACATTTTGCATAAATATCTTCCATTTCTCTTCTTCCATTATTTTTTTTATTGGGACAGTAAGGTCAAAGGTCAACTCAACAATGCTATCTTTTAAAATGCCAGTTGCAATCTTCAGGTTGTATTTCTTTGAACAATGAACCAACACTTGGTCTTCAGAAGTTATTTCCCATGCACAACTACATTTTTTCATCTTCAGCCTTTTCTGAATAAATTCTTTTACTGGTTTTTGCTGGAGAAGATGATGAGCATTTTGAGGCAACTGAACAGGAGTTGACTGGATGTCAACAAGAAACTGATACATCTCTTGCCGTACCATTTCTATATCAGCAGAAAAGCCAGAAAACACAATGTTTGTATCCACTTTTTTAATTTCCACCTTATATTTTGGATTTAAGTGGGGAATGAAGTCAGCAAAAAGTAAAGAAATTTGATGAGGTTTGAATTTCTTCTCTATCTTCATGTTAGACTTTTTTTCAATAATTTCCAACAGTTGCTTCTGGTGATCTTTAGCAATAGCCTTACTGAATGAGAAAATGTGTGCAATAAAATTTTCATTGTCAAAGTAAATTTGTATATTGTTTTTGGCATTTAAGGTTATTTCTTTCACTTCTTCAAAGATGGCAGATGGGATGTGTACTACTTCATCATGTATGGTAGCCAGCAATGCTTTTACAGTTTCTATAGCTTTTTCTTCATTGTCATCATCATACATTATTCTCAATGAACTTTCATGACTGTCAGACCAAACAGGATTTCCACAATCTTTTAACTGAACTTCACATACTTCTTTCTGCTCCTTTAGAAAACTCAGCCAGAATGCATTTTTAAGCTTGATATCTTTATATGCTTCATTACTACTTATATAATCATTGTAGAGTTTAATGTCAAAATCTGCATGTTTCAACTGGGACCATTTTGAAGCAACTGAAAAATGATATTTCATAAAATTAAAGGAAGCATGGATTGAATTTTATAAGAAATTGTCACAAATTAAAGGCATAAATAAATAATTACACTAGCCAACAAAATGTTTTTTTCAAAAGGCATGGAATATCAGAACGTTTTTAGGCTAAATCAGCATTGCTGAATCCAAAAATGTACTTAATTCTCTTGAATTGGCTTTACTTTTCAAGATATTAGACATCAATAAATTTCAAAAATTTACTTTTCTTTGAATATGCTAGATTTGCTATCAACTTGTTGCCTTGTTTATGTTAGGGATATAACTCTACCTTACTTTCGCAGAGAATATTTTTGGACAGGGTGAGAAACAAGATGGCTGCTGCTTAAACACATGCACATGGATTGATTTTAATCCTTTTCCATCCACCTGCATCAACTTAGGTGAGACAAAAAATAAATATTGATTGTATTTAAAATACAATTACTCTTTTATTGTATTTTTTGTTCATTCTATTAGCCTGGGATATAAAAGTTTACATTCTTTAAAATTCTTTCGATATTAAGAAAAAACTGTGAATACTATTGTTCTAGTTATAGATATGAATGAGAGTTCCAGCCTATCTGCTGCTACCAGTTTTACAGGCAGGATTTGTGTATCAGGTTCTGCCAGTGACTTAGATTCTCTCTATTTCACATATACAAAACGTTAATCATAAACTCTGTGTCATTCTGTGTTACATATGTGGTGAATATATGGTAAAAGGGCATCAGTTCAATGTTTGAGATTTCCCTGGAAGAGAATATTAAGCTTACTTTGGTGTGAAGAATGGGGATCAAGATAAGTTATGGGCTCCTCACAAAGTTTGTAAGAATTATACTGAAACCATTTGCTTGTGGACCCATGGTAAAGTCAAGTCAATGAAGTTTGGGGTACCAGTGGTGTGGTAAGAGCCCCCAAATCATTATGACGATTGCTACATCTGTATCGTGAACATGTCAGGAGGCAACTGTCACAAAAAGTAGTCACACTATCCTGATATTGAATCTGAAAGTTCAACATTGTAATGGTGTTCCCATTCCAGTTTTAACTTCCTTGTCTGATTTTGAGCAAGATCATGATGCTATGAATATTTCAAAAGCAATGGATGAAGCGAGCAACAGCAGTTGTATTTATCATTTGCATTTGGGAGATTTTCAGGCTGTAAAAGTGAAGCTTTTCACACAGTGTGAACTGAATGACTTGGTTAGAGATCTAGCTTTATCAAAAGAAGCAGCTGAGATTTTGGGCTCCCATCACAGTGAGCATCGTGTTCTTGACCCTGAAACTAAGATAACATTTTGCTCTAACAGAGACAAGGAACGTGTTTGTTATTTTGCAATAACATCCAAGGCCTTCTTTTATCAATGGGACTGCCTAAGTACAATCCAGCTGAATGGCATTTATTTATTGACAGCTTTAAACAAAGTTTGAAGTGTGTATTGTTGCACAATGGTGGCAAGTTTGCTTGTATCCCAGTTGGCCATTCAGTGACCTTGAAGGAGCACTACATGAATGTAAAGATTGTTCTACAAAAACTGTTATGACGAACATAAGTGGATCATAAAATAGTTAAACATTTGTTAGGGAAGCAAGTGGTTTTACCAAGTGCCCATGTTTCCTTTGTCTATAGGACAGCAGAGCCAACAATCAACACTGGGGAAGGAATAATTGGCCTATTCATGAAGAAATTTAAATTTAAAGCAAAGACATAATTAATCAAATTGCTACTAATTGGAAATTCATATGTATATTATATAAAATTTATATCAAATATATATGGAGTACGGATGCTAAAAAGTTCTTATTTCCCAAAAAAAACCCCAATTGCCAAGTATGAAAATTTTAGAGGTCCATTTCTAAAAAGAAAATAAAGTATAAAATAAGCAGGAAAATAATTTTCCCATATCAAGAATGAAACAAATGAAAATAGAATGAACATGGTTGTGTTTTTTTTCAAGTTGCTGCATAATATTCATCTGATAAATGAAACAATTTTCATCAAAATATGTATTACTTATGGAATATTAGATGAATGAACTTAATTTCTCAAAAAAAGAAAAAATAGATAGAAAATTCTAATAAAAGGAAGAGAATAAATTTGATATTCTGAAAAAAAATAAAAATATATAAAAAAAGAAATAGTTAAAACTTACGGTCCACCAATTTTTAAATGTTAAGCGATGATTTCTTTACCAATAAGGTATTTGAAAGAAAACAGATCATCAGGCGAAAAAGGATTGTGGAAATAGTTCTTCAGTATTTCTTCAATTATCTTGGAAGAAAAATTTACTTCCAAGAAAAAAATCCTTCAATAAAATGAATTTGTCTTACAAAGACATCCTTCACTGATGTAATTTTTGAAAAGCACTAGATTATTTTAATTCTTCAAAATCTTAAATATGAAAAAAGAAAGAATAATATTATTTTGGTATAGATTTCCTAAAAAATAAGCATAAATGATGAAAAAAGACTCCAAACTTAATAAAAATAAGTTTTATTGTCAAAATCTTTATATTAAGAGGAAAGACCAAAGAATTTTGTAATTATTAAACTATATTTTTTTACCCTCTTAAGAAGGTTCAAAATTTTGGTTAAATATTTTAAAAATCAATATTTAAAAGACATTAATTTTTAAAAAATATTATGAAAAAAATTGATATTTAAAAATAATTAATAGTTAAAAAAACAAATATTTATCATAATTAACCACCAAAAAACAAATGAAAAAAAAAAATTTTTTGATCCTATTCAAAGAAAAAAGGATTATTTAAAAGAATATTTGAAAATAATTAATATTTAAAAAAACAAATTTGTTCAAAATTGAATATAATAAGATTGAGATTTCAATATAAAAATTTTTTTAAAAAGGTTGGTCAAAATTTAAAGTCCATTTTGAATAGAAAACAATGTCAAAATATTAACATGCAAACAAATGCTAAAAAAATGTAAAAAAATGAATAAGGATTTTCAGATGTGGAAAAGAGCTTTTTTTATTCAAAGAGGTAACTGATGAAGACATTAGATTGGAAGAAGAATACAGCATAGTAAAATAGAAGATGAACAAGATTGTGATTTCAAGAAAGAAATTTCTTTTGCATAGAAAGGAAGAGAATGAAAGGAAAGACATCCTGAAAAGAAAACAAAATATAAAAAAAGCACAAGTTATAACCTTGTAAACCACCAATGAAACAAATGAAAGCATGATTTCTTTTTGATCAATAGAGCTGAGAGGATTCTGATGCATCTGATGAAGACATGACAATGGAAGAAGAATAATTTAGCACAAAATAAGATGAAGACGATTGAGATTTCCAAAAGAAAGAAATTCTTCAATAGAAAGGAAGAGAAGGAAAGCAAAGACATCCTGAAAAGAAAATAATGTATAAAAGAAGCATAAGGGTTGGTTTTAATGTGGATTCTGATGCCATTTTTTTTATGTATTCCATGTATATGTTTGTCCATTCTGGTGATAATGGTGAGCCCATTCCTAAGTCCTGTCAATATATTTCTGATCCTATTCTGAAGTGTGTTATTTGTGCATAGAGACTGGACATAGTGAGTTTGTTCACCACGGAGGAGGCACTCTCAGTAGTCAGGGACAGACTGGCCTTGGACTCATGCCTAAGAAAATGAACCAGTATACCAATAGATAACCTGATGGAGACGCTGACTTTCTATACACAAACAATACACTTTGGAATGGGATCAGACATATATTGGCAGGATGTAGGCTTAGCAATAGTCTCACTATTATCACCAGCAATGGTGACTGGTGTACAAAATGAAGAGTTCAGTTCATAATCCCAATCCCCTGAAGAAGGCTGGAGTGTACAACAGCTGAATTGTCCAGTATTTACATTAGTCGGACTATTGTCCTCATCTTTGTCGCCATATTTTTATCACAACGTTTTTGCCGTTATGCGCTCCGCCTTCTTCTTCAGGTGGTTGGAATTTCGAACTGAACCCTTTATTTCGATCACTGGGGTAGACTGTTCTAATTCCACGTGCCATGTTTGATGGATGTCAGTTATCAGTTATCTCCTGCTAATTTTCCCTCTGAAAGTTCTCCACTGCCTTAACCAGGAATTGAACTCACCTTCTTTGGGTCTGTCACTGGATCTAACCAACGCCTTTATCCACTGTGCCATGTGTCCCATCTGAGTATTATAAACCTAATGTTTTCAGCATCATTTTTACCAGTGCTCATATTGCAGATGGGACACATGGCACAGTGGATAAAGGCGTTGGTTAGATCCAGTGACAGACCCAAAGAAGGTGAGTTCAATTCCTGGTTAAGGCAGTGGAGAACTTTCAGAGGGAAAATTAGCAGGAGATAACTGATAACTGACATCCATCAAACGGCCTGTTTCTCCTTTATATTCCTTTCCGCAGCTGCATGGGATAGCGTACACACAGTCTTTAGTCATGTTCCTCTCTATGGGGGGTCTCACTCGTGAGAGATACCTGCGAAGTGTTGTCACGCTTTTGAAGGTTGTCCTGATGTTATATGGACCGCAGATCCTTTGTATTTTCTCTGATAACCCCTTCACATAAGGCAGGCAGACTGTTTTCTGAGTGTTGTTGTCCTCCTCATCCTCCTCCTCTTGGCCGCCCCCTCAAGGTAAGGCTTCAAGAACACCAGAAAGCTGTAACGCGAGGGGAAGTAGAAAAATCAGGCGTGGCTGACCACATATGGAGAGAGAAAGGAGATCACCGCCCCCTGTGGGATCATGTTGAGATCATAGACAGGGAACACCATTGGAAAATTCGTAAACTTAAGCAATCAGCACATATGCTAGGCCACAAAAATCTCCTGAGCCGACCAAGCATAGAAATAAATACAATATGGGAACCAGTAATACGGAGTGCCAGAGAAAAGCAATGATAACAAAGTTGCAATATGAACTCTGGTAAAGACATGCAATGATAACAGCAAAAATTGCAATATGAGCACTGGTAAAAATGCTGCTGAAAACATTAGGTTTATAATACTCAGAAAACATTAGGTTTATAATACTCAGAAGTTCATACCCACTGTGCCATGTGTCCTCAAGGACACATGGCACAGTGGATAAAAATTTTAGTTAGATCCAGTGACAGACCCAAAGAAGGTGAGTTCAATTCCTGGTTAAGGCAGTGGAGAACTTTCAGAGGGAAAATTAGCAGGAGATAACTGATAACTGACATCCATCAAACATGGCACGTGGAATTAGAACAGTCTACCCCAGTGATCGAAAATAAAGGGTTCAGTTCGAAATTCCAACCACCTGAAGAAGGCCGGAGCGTACAACGGCCGAAACGTTTCCCCAATATGGTAGACTGTTCTAGTTCCACATGGATGTCAGTTTTAAGTTATCTCCTGTGAATTTCCCTCTGAAAATTCTCCACTGCCTTAACATTGAAAATAAAATTGAACTATAATTTTTATTCCTGTCACTGATATCTAACCAACGCCTTTATCCACTGTGCCATGTGTCCTTGAGGATTAGAACTTGTAAATCTTTATATGATCTATGTTTCTTGTGCTTTATGTCCGATTAACCTCCACCATGACTTCAACAAATAGAACGTCATATTTGGCTACATTCATGATACATTTATCACTGCTGTATTCTACACAATCGTCAAAGATTGACATGTCTAAGTGCTAATAACCCACTCACCCCCACCCTCTGACCTTATTTTTCTATTTAGTGTAGAGCTGATGTTTAATTGAGATATACCCACATGTATTTTTAAATCTGACCTTATGCACCCCCCACCCCACCCGCTTAACTTTTGGGGAAGAGGTAATGATTTGTTTTTAAATTTCCCTAAAAATTTATTTTTATCACCAGTTACCAGGAAGTACAATAATAGTATTGAAACATGAAAGCTTTTGTGTAGTGATTTATAATGTTATTATAATCTCTGATAATAAAAATATAATAAAATATAACAATAAATAATAAAAATATAACAATATTTTACTCTATTTGTATTGAGCACTTTTTAAAAAAGTAAATGCAATTAACTTTTAATTTTTATTCCATTTGTTCTTTCTTTATATATAAGTACTGACTTCAATGCTCACTTTTATATTTATATATATATATGTGTGTGTGTGTGTGTGTGTAATAAAGATGTTAAGGAGAAGGAACAATAAAAGGAATTAAGAAAAGAGTAAATACTAATTGATATTGCATTTAAATTTATGAAGATTAAAGTTGACTTGAAAGCAATATGCCAAAAGAGAGTTCCACAAGCAAGTAGTGCAAGAGAAGAAACTATTAGCATAGAACTTACAGTTACAACTAGCTGTTTCAACTGTAAAATGATTAGATCTTGCTGCCAATCTAGTACTTAAACATTATTAAAGAGAGAGAACAATAAAAGAACAGGAATTAAGAAGACAGAAGATTACAACTGACATTCCATTTATGAAACCTTTTGACCAATTTAGTACTGTGCTTAAATTCATAATGTCTAGGTACCATAGATGAAAGTACATCATAACAATTACTATAAAAATATTTATAGAAAAGGCAGAGAGAAACTATGTTACAGTATTGGAAAAGTGACTGATGTTGGGATGTCAGGTCAGGACAATAACATTGTATATTCTTCTTTGTATTTTATCAATAGTCTCTAAATACATAGCAATAATAATCTCCATATAACTTAGCTTAGGAATATAGGCTGATTTGTCCATTTTTATTTTATATTTTTCTGATTTTCATTTGTTTACTTCCCTTTCCCTTTGTTAAGTAAACAGAAGGCAGAGTTCTCCAGCAATATGAGAATATTTTGACTTAGTTTTAATTTGACTTATTTTTCTTCTATTGTTTCTCTAATACAGCTGTTTCATTTTTTGGACAGATAATTTGCTTTTTCAGTCATACCAAATAGATATCCATATGATTTTATAATTGCTTAAAGTGTGAAATTGCCATTTAGCATGCAGTATTTATTAGGGTGTGTGTGTGTGCATAAAAGTAATAAACAGATAAATAATATAATTTTCTCACCTTCCTCTGAAGCAAATGTTATTTCAACAAGATTTGTGCATGTGACCCTTTCTGTTTCTTTCTCAATTTTTCCTCCACCAGATCTTCTTCCATTCTCAAAGAATGACTGAGGCTCATCCAAGTTCATATCTTCTGGCACACCATGTACAGAAACAGTTTCTGTAGCAACTTCATTTTTCTGCATTTCACTGTCTGATGTATCTTTAATTATATCTATCCATTTCCCACGAAAGAATATGGGTGATTCTGATTCAACTCTATTGGCCACTACAACATAAAAAAGAAGAAACACATTAGAAGTTTTATAAAAAAAAATATCTCAAACATTTGACAGAAATACAAGTCCTATCTCTAAATGGTGATAATGATTTCTTATTGGCAGATGTTCTACAAGGAGATAATCTAGTCCCATATCTGTTCATCATTGATCTAAATTATGCCTTACAAAAAAATGGGTTTCAATGATAATTGGACCATGAAAGGACTGAATATTTAGCACATATTTAGCCTCCACTGAAATTAAGTTTGTGACAATATGATCAAATTTGTTAACTTAGAGCCTTAATTGTGTAAGCTTACACAACATAGTTGAGAGTAATCTTTAAAAATAAAAGATGCTGCTCTTTTGAAAATATGGGAAAGTTCTGAATAGTCAAATTATCATTAAGCGAAGTAAACTCAAAAGTAAATGACAACCAACTGGTGTCATATCTGATACAGACTTTGCAGATGACATAGCATTACTCTCTAACACACTGGAGCAAGCCAAGCTGTTTTTGAAAATTCCATCAAGCAAATTAGATGGTATATTAATCACACCAAAACTGAGCAAATGTTGTACAACTAAGCAAGTAGATTACTTTCTTTATCTTGATTCCTGGATCAATTCATGTAGGAAGAACATAGATGTCAGAATTGGCAATGTTTGAAGAGCAATGCAAAAAAATGGAAACAACATGAAAATTAATTGTATCATCTGAAATCAAAGTTGAATTCTTCAGAGTAACAGTAGAAACAGTCCTTCTGTATGGTGGCAGAGTAGGTAATATAATAAAGGCATTGATCAAGAAACTTGATGGGGCTTATACCAAGATGCTGGGAGTGTTTAAAAAATGTCAATTGACAGCCATATATGACTAACAAAATGCTCTATGGTAACTTGCCTAAGCTGATGACTATAACTGCTGAGAGGAGAGTAGTGGGCATTGCTCTTAGAAATAACTTTAGCCTGACTTTTTACTGTAAGAAATATAAAACATGATAACATAAGATACTCACCTTCTTTATCAAAAGAATCTAATTGTTGCACTCCCATTTTCAATATGAATTTGCTGGACTTTCCACCACATGGTAAAAAAATTTTTCAAAATATTCTAAGAGATTTTGCTTTGTTGTATTACTAGGAATTTCTGACAGAAGAATTTTAGCTTCTACTTTGTCTAAAATAAATTAAAAGGCAAGACATTAATAAAAAAAAATGAAAATAAAAAAAACATATATAACTATATGAAAAAATAAGAATACATTTGGAAGTGAATTTGCTCTCTTCTCTTTGGTTCACTTTTACATATTCAGCTGCATTAGACCACAGGAATCACTTCTTTCAATTATACCAATATGATAGTTCCAATCATAAAAGATGCTTATTTGTATCCACTCATAATGAGTGTAAGCATATCTAAAGCTAAAAACAAAGCTTCAAAAATACTTTTTCATTTTTAAAATTTCATTTTAAACCTTAGGTATCGAAAATTCAGTGAAGGTGCTCTTTCAAAATGTACGCTATCACTAATCTCCACAACATTCCTATGTAATTTTTACTTCTCCATGACACCTCTTTGTCTTTCTGAGACAAGTACATTACTGATTTTCTGGCACTGTTGCTTTCTAGACTTGTGCTAGATTACCCATTTTGCCAGACAAACAGAAGTCATTTAATAATAAATCTCTGATTCACTAATTATGCATCTCTCATATTTCTACAGTATCATTGACTGTCAGAAACTTAAGCCGTTATTAATTGTAATTTATTAATCTATAACCACACAATGAATTAGACTGACAATTGTATGACATTCAAATGCTTGCTCTTAATTTTGTCAAGATGAAAAGAAGTACTGGACTATCAAGTGGTGGTGGATTTGTATTTTTTCTGCCATCCAATTACTCAAACTTCTCAAGTAGGTTACTTGCTGTTTTCTTCTCTTGCCATTATTTTGCCCTGTGGGTATTAAATTCTCCAAACTTTATTTCATAATTCTGTATCCCCAAAATTTCAGCTGTATCTTTTTGATTGTTATGAACAATTTATTTGAAGTTTCTATTCTACTTTTCCTTGTTTCTAAACTACTCTGTTCACAGTATTCTCAACATTTACTAGTAGAACTACTGAGTTTGTTTTTGATTTTTACTGATGATATTTGGCAACTTGTATCTCCATGTTATATCATCAATTTGGTACAACTTGTTTCCCAATTGTTGCTGAATGGTTTATTCTTTATTTTCATATATAACATAAATTGTTTATTCTTGATTTTACAGCTTTGCTATTAGAGCCATTTTGCGCTACTTGTGGAAAAAAAGATTGAGTGCAAGGACAATGACAAAAGAAATTAATGATGTGGAAGATCCAAGAACTGCTTGCAAACTAGCACAAAACTGGTTCAGACATTTCAAGGAAGGTGACACCAGCCACAAAGACAAACCAAGGTAGGCAAAACTTGTTATGAGGCAGAATTTGAAATGGCTGAATAACCAAGGATAAGCACTTGTACATTGTTGGCAGAACTTGGTTCTTCACAAAGTACCATCAATTGGTCTATACAGTAGACCCATTTAGTCCACACAAGCGTTTTCCTACAAAACAAGTTCCCATGAAACATTCCACAAACATGGATCACACTCATTTCCTCTGTATTCCACATGTAAGGAGAAAATTCCACTTTTTGAATTAAAAATAATGACTAAGCTTATAAGAGAAAAGCTACAACCATTTTGACTCTCTATAGTTGGTTGTGTTGCCTGGATATCATTTGGTAATCAGTCAGAAGGGACTTTATTGAGTGAACTTGTTTACTAAAATTAAAGATAATTAATGAAAGAAAAGACAGTAAGGAGGATAGACTGACTCTTAACTTGAAGAGGTTAAGATTGTAGTGTGGAGTCCTTGCAACTATTTGGGTGAAAATTTCTTTTCGAACACAGAGGAAGAAGGGTGACTTGACTCCATAGAAGTAGCATAGTATGTTTTTGCTGTAAAGGTCTGAACCATATGAAAATAAAGAATAGAATACTCATCTGAACTTTTGTCATTGAAATAGCAAGAGAGTTTTAACGGGTTTGCAATGTTGCATCTGTAGAAAAGAGGTTGCAGAGTAGAGAAATATGTCTTCTTTCACAAGACTGTCTAAACTATTTTGAACAGTATGTTGCAAAGGTGCGAACAGATAACCTCTCATAGAATTTCTAGACGATTCTATAAGTCCAGATAAAATTTTGATAGGATTAGCAAGATTGAGATTTCCAAGAGAAGAAATACTTGAAGAGAAAAAAACAAAGACATTGTGAAAACAAGACAATGTAAAAAAGAAGCACAAGTTATAAACTTGCAATCCACCAATGAAATATGGCCCTAGAGAATGAAACAAATGAAAGCATGATTTTTGTTGATCAATAGGTCTGAGAGGATTCTGAAACATCTGATGAAGACATGACAATGGAAGAAGAATACATTTCGTACAATATAAGATGAACAAGATTGAGATTTCCAAGAGAAAGAAATACTTCAGTAGAATGGAAGAGAAGGAAAGCAAAGACATCCTAAAAACAAAACAATGTATAAAAGAAGCACTAGTTATAAACTTGCAAACCACCAATGAAATATGAACCAACAGAATCATGTTATTTTGGTAAGAGATTCTATAATGACAATATGAACTGATACAATCTCATTCACATTGGTGAAAGCTTAAGATTTTGTATTTTCAAGTGAGGTTCTCTGTTATTTCAACTTCATCCCACTGGTGGCAGTGATCTCCCTTTTTTCTTTCGTATGGAGTCAGATATGCCTGATTTTTTTTTATTTCCCCTCATGGCTTTACAATGTTCCTGCAGTTTCAGCTTAAGGAGGCAGACTGTTTCTCCTGTATATTTCTTACCACAGCTGCATGAGATTGTGTGCACACAGTCCTTAATCATGTTATCCTCTATGGGAGAGTCTTAATCGGAAGAAATGTCTGCGAATTGTCAAACTACTTTTGAAGGCATCCTGATGTTATATGGACCACAGATCTTTTGTATTTTCTCCAATAATCTCTTCACATAGGGTAGGCAGACTGAAGCTGTTATCTGAGTTTTGTTATCATCTTGTGCCCTTCTATCACAGTTAGTTGGCGCTGCTGTCATGTACCCGGGATAGTTGTTACAGTGTAGCATATTGCTTATACTGACCATTTCTTGTTTATATGTTGCTGGGTCTCCACTTATGGCTTTTGCTCGATGTTGTAAGCAGCACACGATCCCTTTCTTTATACTGTATGGGTGGTGGGAGTTGAAGTTGAGGTATTGTCGGGTGAATGTTGCCTTGTGGTATATGGATATCTTGAACCCATGCTCTATTTGAAATATTAGTACATCCAGGAATGTGAGTTTGTTGTTGTTTTCATTGTGAACTTCTTTTGATGATCTTATTGATTTCACATAGTCCAGTAGTTGCTGGACCTCTTTCTGGTGTGGCCTGAGTATGAACGTGTCATCTACATATCTCAGCCATAGGGTTGGCTTTAATGTGGATTCTGATACCATTTTTTTTATGTATTCCATGTATATGTTTGTCCATTCTGGTGATAATGGTGAGCCCATTGCTAAGCCTTCATCTTGTCAATATATTTCTGATCCCATTTTGAAGTGTGTTATTTGTGCATAGAGACTGGACATAATGAGTTTGTTCATTAAGTTAGCCACAGAGGAGGCACTCTCAGTAGTCAGGGACAGACTGGCCTCAAACTCATGTCTAGGAGAACAGACCAGTATACCAATAGATAATCTGATGGAGACGCTGACTTTCTATACACAAGCAACACACTTTGGAATGGGATCAGACATATATTGACAGGATATAGGCTTAGCAATAGTCTCACCATTATCACCAGCAATGGTGACTGGTGGACAAAATGAAGAGTTCAGGCTGAAGTGTACAACAGCTGAAATGTCATTTTATTTCCTGTGCTTTTTCTCTCCATGAACACGGGGTTAATTTCTGCTGCTATGATGTGATTGAACCCCCACAAATTACTGTTTTCATCCCTAAAATTCAAACTAAAAAAGAAAATAATTAATAATTGCAGTATGTTTCTCACTGAAAAACAAATTAGTTATATTTAAAAATTAAATTAAACTATTTAGTGAAATTTGATGTAAGAAAATATTTTATTGGGTTTTGTATGTTACAATTCAGAGTTGAGTGGTTTGATTTAAAAAAAAAAAATTGAAGCATGATTTAAATTCTTCAAAGACTTCTGCTTTTAAATAACATAATCAATAAAATGCTTAGCATTAAATTTCAAGAGTTTTCATAAAATTAGTTAAGTTGGGTGGGGAGCACAGATGTAAAATAATATTTTTACCACGACTTTCAAAAAAAAAAAATTTCAATCATTTGAATAGTTTTTGAAAGTGTTATGATGTTGATTTGGGGTTAATAAAGACAAACGCCAAATAACACGTAACAATAATACAAGGGGGTTTATTAGGTTGGTAAGTAGGTACAGAAATCGCCTGAGTAGTTTATAACTAGCTCAGCCAAGACTTTCTCCGACTCTGTCTGTCTTTTGACATGCCAGTCTTTAATGTCTTTGTTTGTAGACAAGTTCATCTTCAAGAGGGGTGGTAGGTTTCCTACACAACACCTCCACCTTGAGATTAATTCTGGAGGAATTAATATCTTTTCCTTTTGGGATCTGGACTTAAACGTTCCACCCTTGTTCTTTTTCTTTTGCTTGTCCTTCTTTGGACAACTATTTCAGGCAATGGTGGAGTCGGTATATCAAATAAATCATATAATACCTCCATTGGTTCTTCCTTTTCTTTACTTATTTCTTCAATGTTTCTTCTCCTTAATTGGTTCAAATGTCTTTTGTGCGTCCATTTTTTTACTTCTGATCATGTACAACATTTTACCAATTCTTTGCGTTACCACTCCATCTTGCCAAAATTCCTTCCCATTTTTTTAATTTCTAAAAAAAACTTTATCTCCCGGCCTGAAATATTTCATATTTTCCTGATGCGTTTTGTTCTGGTAAGTCTTTTTTCTTTCCGGCCGCAGCCTATTGAACACAGATCTAATTTTTCTAGCAAATATCAGTTCAGCTGGAGACATCCCTGATATTGCGTTTGGATTTGGTGTTATTCTGTATATACTTAAAAACTGCTGTATATTACCATCATCTGTATTAGTACTATTTGTTATTTTAAGGGCTCTCTTGAACGTATCAACAAACCGTTCAGCCTGTCCATTTGAACTAGGATGGTACGGTGAAGTCGTGATGTGGTCAATTCCCAGAGTCTTACAAAACGCCTTAATTTACCTCCTGTGAATTGAGTTCCATTGTCGGTGACAATTTTTTCTGGTACTCCATACTGTGCAAACAGTTCTGTAAGAAAACCTTTTGTTACAGAAGCAGTTGGTCTTTTGCACTTAAAAACCTCAGGCCACTTGGAATAGCTATCCACAACTATCAAGTAAAATTACCATTCATGGGTCCAGCATAATCTATGTGAGTCTGGTCCATGGAACATCTGTTTTTGGCCATGGTGTGTATTTTACTGGCGGTGCTTTCGCTGCCATTTGACACCCTCTACAAGTTTTAACTACCTGTTCAATGTCTTTGTCCATATTTGACCAATAAACGTAACTCCTCATCAGGGCTTTCATACGTCCAATACCAGGATGCCCCTGATGAAATTCCTTCAACATCTGCTTTTGTAGTACAACCGGTATCACGACCCTTCCAGCATATAACAGCACTTCATCACATATTGAATATGCTGGTGAAGAAGTTTTATACTTTTCTGAAGTTACAACTTCTTTCATTTTTTTAATAAAAATGTCATTTTCTGGTTTCAATTTTATTTCGTCTAATGTCACCGGTAATTCTTTTACTGTGTTATACATTACTTCAACCAATTCATTTTCTGCTTGTAACGACGCTATCACTGTATCTTCTAGCGGTTCCGAAGACGTTGGGATCAGCCTAGATAAGCCATCAGCATGGCTTAAATTTTTCCATGATAAAAATTCCATTTTGAAATTATAATTCAACAAAATGGTTCCCCATCGTTGCAAAAAGTTTGCCATATGAGTAGGTATGCCCTTCTTTGAACCATAGATCGAAAGCAGCGGGCGATGGTCAGTCTGCAAAATAAACCTTCTTCCATTTATGTACTTATGGAATTTTTTACAAGCATAGATGATAGCTAAGCTTTCTTTCTCAATTTGAGAGTACTTCTTTTCTGCGGGTAATAATGTCCTTGATGCATGTGCCACTGGCTTTGTATTGCCGTCTCTGAATTTATGCAAAATTATTAAGACCTATTCCGTGCTCGCTTGTCCGATGCTACTATAATTTCCTGTTTAGGGTCATAATGTGTTAGTGATAATTCTGACGTCAAAATATTCTTTATTTTGTCAAACGCCTTCTGACACACTTCTGACCATTCCCACTCTGCTCCTTTTTAAGCAATTTATTTAATGGAGCCGTAAGGCTGCACAAATTAGAATATATATCCCATAATAGTTAGCAAGTCCTAAGAACGCTTGTAACGTTACTACATTTTTGGAGATGGCATGCTTTTGATCGCTTCTGACCTCGCCGGATCTGGTCTTCTTCCATCAGAGTCTATTATCTTCCCCAAAAACTTAATTTCACTCATAAAAATTCACATTTTTCAGCTCCAAGTTTGAATCCATATTCTTCAATTTTTTCAAAAACCTGATTAATATGTTCCAAATGTTCATTTCGATCTTTACTTTTTATCAAAATATCATCAAGATATGCAATGCCGAAGTCCAACCCTGCCAGCACAGTGTCCATAATTTGCTGAAAAATACTAGGGGATACTTTTAAACCAAAAGGTAGACGGTTTAATTTGTATAAACCCTTGTGTGTATTGATAGTCAACAATTTAGAACATTCTTCATCCACTTTCACTTGGAGATAGGCATCCGATAAATCCAATTTAGAGAATATTTTTCCTCCACTTAAACTTGCAAAAATGTTTTCTGGTGAAGGCAAAGGATATGTGTGGTCTTTTAAGCAATCATTTAGACCCGTAGAGAAATCGGCACACATCCGAATTTTATTATTCTTCTTCTTAACATATACAACACTCTGAAAATTCAATGCGTGAAATAACTCCTAAATTTTCAAGCTGTTCCAATTCTTTGTAAAGCTGTTCCAAAACACCAAATGGCACATTTCTTTTTCGCTTGAAAATAGGTTTTACATTTTCCTTCACTTCAAATTTTGCCTTCACCTTTTTGCAACATCCAAGACCTTCTGAAAATACTTGTGGAAATTTTATTTTCAGATCTTTTACCAAATTTTCTGTAACGCGATTTTTACACGGAGAAGAAACATTAATTCTATTGCAAAAAGAATTTATAGGGTGTTCCCATAAATTAAACAGTATAATCCAATCTATTCCAAACAAATTTGAAGTATTTTGTAGCACATACACTTTAGACTTTAGTGTCTTACCAACAAAAGAAATAGTACAAGAAAATTCACCTTGAAAATGCAATTTTCTTCCAGAAATCCATGAGCCACTTTTTTCAGTTTTTTAAGCAAAAGGTCTGCCTATTTTAATCCATGTTGCTGTATTAATAATGGAAATATCACTTCCAGTATCTAGCTGTAGTTTAACATTTTTTCCATTAATTTTCACCTGTACGAATTTTCTTTTCTGCCCCTCCTCAATCTCCTGATGTGACAATACAATATTCACATCTTTTTTCGACTTAACATTTTTTCTTTTGCTTTTACAATAAGTACTTATATGGCCTTTATTGCCACATGAATAGCAATTTTTGTCGAGAAAAAAACATTCACTTTTAAAATGACCACCACTGCATCCAAAGCATGTTGGTTTTTTAACGTTTTTATTAACTATTCCCTTTTTTGGTCGAATAGCATGGACACGGGATACGTCTTTTTGTTCAATTTGGGTATTGTCATGTTTTAAGTTTTCAATTCTTTGACATTCTTCTGTAACCTCCTGCAAAGTAATCTCGGAATTTTGTTCAAGTTTTGCCAATATTCGGGACCTTATGTCCTTATCTTTGCTAGAAGTCAAGCCTTGAACGAATATCAAACATTTAAATCGATCAATTGAAAGATCATGTAACATAAAACGTTCACACATTCTGTTAACATTTCCAGCATACGTAACAATATCCTCATCATCACACTTTACCATATTCAAACACGAGAAACGAGTATGAAACAAACTAACTCGCTCGCCAAAAATACTAGATAAAGTATTAACAGTTTCTTCGAAAGAAATGTCACTAGTTTTTTCTTGGAAGGACAAAATTCATATACTTATTATTTTCATCTGTACCCAACTTTTGTACAAGTAAACTCACTTTTTGTTCATCAGTCCAACCTTCACATTTTTTTTCAAATATTGTTTCAAATCTTCTGAAATACGCAGGAAATGTTATACCCTCCTCTGGGTTAAATTTGAACTCAGTAATAGAATTAGCAATACCTTCGGCCGTGAATGACGAATTTACTGAATTCTTAAGTAAAATCGCTTCAAATAAAGCCTTTGTGTCATTTCGCTGCTGAACTTGTAAATCCAATAGTTGTTCCCGAAACAACTTTTCTTGCTCTTGTTGCAATCTTTGTTGCTCTTGTTGCTGAATTTGACTTTGCACTAGAGTTTTCCTTAATGCAATCAAATATTCCATTATGCGTAATAGATTACACAAAACACTTTTCGAAAACAGTCAAAAAAGGGAAAAACACGTATATATCCACAATAAGCACAAGTCTTACATCTTTTTGGCATGTTGAAATCCTATTTCTCCGTGAAGAACAAAGTTAGATGTATTGTTTTTTTTTTCTTTCAGTGCGAGAAAAAAAAAAATTATATAGTCCACCTAGAGTTGAAAAATTCCCCACTCAGCGTGATGAACGAATCTCTCGTCGCCACTGTTATGATGTTGATTTGGGGTTAATAAAGACAAACGCCAAATAACATGTAACAATAATAAGGGGGTTTATTAGGTTGGTAAGTAGGTACAGAAATCGCCTGAGTAGTCTATAACTAGCTCAGCCAAGAACTTCTCCGACTCTGTCTATCTTTTGACATGCCACTCTTTAACATCTTTGTTTGTAGACAAGTTCATCTTCAGGAGGGGTGGTAGATTTCCTACACAACAGAAAGTTTCATTAAAATCTGTCATGGCAAAAAAAATGTGTGAAATTTGATATGTTATTTCAGTATTTCTACTGACACAAAAGGAAGCAAGTAATAAACAGATGAATAATATAATTTTCTCACCTTCCTCTGAAGCAGATGTTATTTCAACATTTGTGGATTCATCCCTTTCTGTTTCTTTCTCAATTTTTCCTCTACCAGATCTTCTTCCATTCTCAAAGAATGACTGAGGCTCATCCAAGTTCATATCTTCTGGCACACCATGTAGAGAAACAGTTTTTGTAGCAACTTCATTTTTCTGCATTTCACTGTCTGATGTATCTTTAATTATATCTATCCATTTCCCACGAAAGAATATGGGTGATTCTGATTCAACTCTATTGGCCACTACAACATAAAAAAGAAGAAACACATTAGAATTTTTACAAAAAAAATATCTCAAACATTTGACAGAGTAATGGTAGCATTCAATAAACAAATAATTCATTTGAGTAGCTGATTTGTACAATATTAAGAAGGTTCTGGTCATAGTAAAAATCTATAATTTATAATTATTTTTTCAAATCATGACACGCTTCTATTAACTCAAATAATCACATAAATCTTTAATACTTATATTAAGAGAAACAAAAATTCAAATGGTGCTCATGGACTGTTTCAGTTAAACAATATATTAAAGATATAAATTATTTTGTTTTTAGACATGAACCTGTTGATTAAAATGTTGATTAGAGGAAGGTTAATGGATATTCTGAACATATATGAAGTACCAGATCAAGTTGGGTCAGCTATGAACATCCTTTACATAAATACAAGTCCTTTCTCTAAATGGTGATAATGATTTCTTTGAGATATTGGCAGGTGTTCTACAAGGAGATAATCTAGTCCCATATCTGTTCATCATTGATCTAGATTATGCCTTACAAAAAAATGGGTTTTAATGATAATTGGACCATGAAAGGACTGAATATTCAGCACATTTCTAGCCTCCACTGAAATTAAGTTTGTGACAATATGATCAAATTTGTTAACTTAGAGTCTTAATTGTGTAAGCTTACACAACATAGTTGAGAGCAATCTTTAAAAATAAAAGATGCTACTCTTTTGAAAATATGGGAAAGTTCTGAATAGTGAAATTATCATTAAGCAAAGTAAACTGAAAAGTAGATGGCAACCAACTGGTGTCATATCTGATACAGACTTTGCAGATGACATAGCATAACTCTCTAACACACTGGAGCAAGCCAAGCTGTTTTTGAAAATTCCATCAAGCAAATTAGACTGTATATTAATCACACCAAAACTGAGCAAATGTTGTACAACTAAGCAAGTAGATTATTTTCTTTATCTTGATTCCTGGATCAATTCATGTAGGAAGAACATAGATGTCAGAATTGGCAATGTTTGAAGAGCAATGCAAAAAAATGAAAACAACATGGAAATTAATTGTATCATCTGAAATCAAAGTTGAATTCTTCAGAGTAACAGTAGAAACAGTCCTTCTGAATGGCAGCAGTGTAGGGAATATAATAAAGGCATTGATCAAGAAACTTGATGGGGCTTATACCAAGATGCTGGGAGTGTTTAAAAAATGTCAGTTGACAGTAATATATGATTAACAAAATGCTCTATGGTAACTTGCCTAAGCTGATGACTATAACTGCTGAGAGGAGAGTAGTGGGCATTGCTCTTAGAAATAACTTTAGCCTGACTTTTTACTGTAAGAAATATAAAACATGATAACATAAGATACTCACCTTCTTTATCAAAGAATCTAATTGTTGCACTCCCATTTTCAATATGAATTTGCTGGACTTTACCACCACATGGTAAAAAATTTTCAAAATATTCTAAGAGATTTTGCTTTGTTGTATTACTAGGAATTTCTGACAGAAGAATTTTAGCTTCTGCTTTGTCTAAAATAAATTAAAAGGCAAGACATTAATAAAAAAAAAAATGAAAAAAAAAAAAAACATATATAACTATATGAAAAAATAAGGATACATTTGGAAGTGAATTTGTTCTTTTCTCTTTGGTTCACTTTTACTTATTCAGCCGCTATAGACCACAGGAATCACTTCTTCCAATTATACCAATATGATAGTTCCAATCATAACAGATGCTCATTTGTATTCACTCATAATGAGTGTAAGCATATCTTCAATGAGGTAAGTCAATATTCACTGACAGAATGAGACACCATATAGCCACTTGTAAATGTGGTTGTAGAGATTGCTGGCAGCTTTTTAAGAGTGTATTGTAAATCCTCAGTCCTTCATTTCTTCAATCAGTTTGAAGTATTGTTATGTGCTGCCAATAACACAGAATGCTTTGCTCAGAAATTCTCTTCCATTTTCACTCTCAACATTTCAGGAGTATCTTTCCTTGATATTCTCACTACAACAGAATCTCTGCTAAGTGATACTTCTCTAGGTTAATCACCAATGTGTTAACAGTTATTACTAAATTTGCTGATCAAGCTTTATATAAGAATGGCAAGGCTTCGACTGTGTCTTTAGATATCTCTCCACTAGCTCAAAGGCATTAATATCTCTGGATGGATATTTGACTTAATTCAATCATTCTTAACAAATCTGGTAACAAAGGTTGTGTTGAATGGCCACACTTTGAGATCATTTCATATTAATGTGAGAGTCCCCATAAAATAAACTCTATAGTTACTATTTAGTACTGAAATAAAAACTGATGTAGCTCTCATTTTAGCATGTTTTGTCATATGTCAGTTTTTTGATGCTGTCTGTAGTGACAGCATAATTTCAAAATAATATTCTGGTAAAACTTCTTTGATTATTTTTGTGAAATTTTCTGACAGAACTTAGATTAATTTTCAATCTGTATTAAACTATAATTCAATTTGATAACTGCAAAATGCAGCTGCACCCTGTTGAAGTTGACTGTAAATGTTTCAGAATTAAATTACGCTATCAGTGAATAACATTATTAGTAAATGTTTTTTTCTCCATCTTTTGGTATGAAAGTTATAAAAACATTCCTGTAATCTTCACTAGAGAATTGTTTTGAAGTTGGAAAAATGTTTAAATTCAGCTTCAAAATGGCTAAAAAGATATGTAATTCCTCCTTCCTTCGAATTTCATAAACAATGCATTTTAAAAACAAAAACATGTTATCTTCATTGTTGGAGTAGAAATTTCTCATTCATTTTTTAAGAAAATCTTTTGAAATATTTTCATGGTTGGAAAGAGAATAAAATAAACATTATATATGTGTACTTTGTTGTTTTTTTTGGTAGATTTTGAGAAAGATATGAACAGTTAAAATACTAAAATGAAACTAGCTGTGTTCAGTTTGTAATAACTTAATGGACACAGCAGTTAACTGATTTTTCCTTGAAGAAAAAAAATTGTGAATTTTTATGAACTTTCAAATTTTTGTTTTATTTAATCAATTTGGTTCTTTCCATTTATTTTTTTTATTTATTTAATTAATTTTTTATTTTCAATATTTTTTGAACAAGTGTAAGTCAAGATTTTTTCAAAAGAGTTGAAAGTCTGAATTGAATATTTATTAATGAGCTAAATCAATTTCAAAATGTTTTTAACAAATTCCGCAACCCTGGCTATTGGCAATATTGTTCAAGATTTGTCCAAATTTCCAAGTTACCAACAAAATATACCATGGAACATTTTATTCTGTAGGAATCATAACAAATTTAATAGTGATGATGATGTGACAGCAGATTGCCTTCATTCTGGAATATACAAATGGCCTTCTTCAAAAGAATCACAAATATGAAAAAAATTGTCTTTGCTGTAAGAACCTCTCCATGTTATCTTGTAACAGTCCACTCCTATAAACTAAAGCAAAATGTTCTGAGGTAATATTAAAGTTCCTGCAAATATACATGGCTCTGATTTTTTGAAAAATGGAAACAATAAGCAATAAAATTATTATAAGTCTAAATTGAGGTAAATTGATGAAGATCAATGATTTATTTGCTTTTTCTGTTTGTGTTATGCAAAAATAAATTGGTCACAAATGGAAAATCTGTTTTTAAAATATTTTTCATTTCAAGTTTATTCAAGTGAATTATTGTGGTCATTATGTTGACCTACTCATTCAAAGCTTTTATTTGATATCTAACTTGACTATGTTTATTTCAAATCAGAAGATATTTTTTAATTAAGAATGGTCACTTAATTAAAAATGGCCACCATTAACAATAGTTGATATTATCTATTGATGTTAGGGGCCTCTACGGAGTAAAATACATCTAATTGTTAATTGCTGATAATAATTGACCCAAAAACATGTATACCAGCAACTCCTACACTTTCAAATTGGTGTTCTTAGAATATAAATGGGTTTTCCTGGTAACTGAAGTCAGAAAATACTGAAAACTTGTGTCAGGATGTAGAAGGCATTTATCTCCTTTCTGACCAGAACAATCTACCAATTTCTTGGAGGATCATTCCTGTTGACAGAAATAGTCACTTGCTGCTTGGTTTGCCACAAATGTGGCCACATAGTAACTGCTTAATTTCTCAGAGAGAATAATGCATATCTGATACATTCTGTAGAGGAACCAAAGAATTGTATCATGTCCGTCTAGGGTACATCACTAGTAAGACTTTTTATTTATGTGTTTAATATAGATGAATAAATTTTGCTGTGCGTGATTACATTTTATTACTTACATATATATGTACTTCATGTTTAGCATGACTTGTGTATATTCATGTTTTGTATATAAAATGTTTTCATGATTAATTCCTGTTTGAAATTCATTTCTTTGGGTTATTTTAAACTTTCCTTCCATCTTGTTACATTGTTCATATATCATGGATATACTAATGCCCATATTAGACATTAGAGATGGAGAGTTAAGAAAATCAAGATATTTTCTCTCTTTTTCCAGGCACTTCATTACAAGAATTTATTTATGCTCATGTAGTCAGGTCAGTAAAAGAAAAGAAAATTATGATAAAGTTACTTTTCTCTGTCATTTGAACTGTTTTAATCTCATTCGGAAATTATGTGTTTGAGAAAAAGCGATTTTTATAGGGTAAGCGAGTGATTTTAAGTTGGCTGATGATTTCCAATGCAAGTGTCCAGTTTCATATTGTAAATATGCCAGTTAGATAATTTGGAGAATTTTTTCCCTTCTCTCTCAAGAGAAAAAAATAAATGTAATCCATTTCCCTAAGTCATTAGACCAACTCAGTAAGGTTTCAGTCCTTTGACCTTCTCACCTTCCTTGTTGTAACAAATGAATGAGTGAACGTTTGACGAGGTAAACGTCATGGCAGCAGACACAAAAATGTCATAAAAGCTGAGAGTTTGCAAAGGTAAGAGGGTAAAAAGGTGTCAAGTAGAAGAAGAAGAAGACAAAGACTTCAGTAATTTTCACTACAGACTGATTACAAGCTATTTTGGCATTATGACTGACAGAAAGTTCGATCTAAAGCTTGTGCCAGAATACAATGGAATGACGTCGATTGTTGATTGGCGAGAAAGAGTAGACCTGATTTGCAAACTTTCGGGAGATGACCGAGTCAAGCAAGTAATCCCCTTGCGATTGGCTGGAGGGGCCTTCGATGTCTACCAGCAACTTTCGGATGCAGACAAGACTCATGTGACCCAGGTGAAATTGCGCTTGACCCATGTAAAGTGTACAAGCAGTTTTCGAGATGCACTTTGCACCTCGGATGAGTCAGTAGATGAGTTCTATGCAGCATTGAAGAAACTCTCCAGCCTGTTCAGAGGAATGCCTGACTAAGCACTGAAGTATGCATTCATGGCTGGACTGCCTGCCCACATCCAGGAGTTGTTGTGGGCGTCTTCCGATGTCAACTACATTCCCAACAGAGAAAGGGTTGCTGCCGCCAACTGGACCAGCACAGCCGAAAGCCCACCAAACATCTGTTTGCTTTACAGGGCCCAACCATCTGACCAACCAAGTTTGAACAACCAAAAATGTCAGGTGCCAAAAGGAGGGCGGAGACAGGGGAGACAGGGCAGATGTGAGCGCCACTCTTGCCCCGAGTAATGAGAACCAACCTGCCAGTGATGTGCGTGTGCATCAACAAAGTAATGCGTAATGCATTGGTTGATTCAGGATGCACACGGACTCTTGTGGAGAGTTCAGTTTGTGATCCACCAAATAGACGTAGGACGGATGTACTGACTGTTGACAGAAGGTGCATGACTAGCAGGGGAGTGACCAGTGTCAATCTACAGGTGAATAAGAGGATTCCCTTAGTGGTCGAAATGCTGGCCATGGATGGAGATCTATTGGGGTTCAATCTCCTGCTTGGACTTGACGTTATATGCCTGTTGGGCGGTGTTCATATAAATGAGCACGGTGAGGCCAGTTTTCCAAATGAAGTGTCCAGTGTTGGCACTGCTGTCGCAGTAAAAATAGAAAGACCAGACTTTGATGTGGAATTTGACCCCACTAAGAAAACATGGATGGCAACCTGGAAGTGGTTGGGTGAGCTGCCGCCAGATCAGTTGATCAATCAGACGCCTGAATACACCATGCCAAAACACATCCGGAAGGAATATAATTGCGAGTTGCAGACTTGGATTCATAATTGATGGCTGATACCATACCCAGAGAAGGAGCTCGGTTCCCCAAGGGGCTTGATCCCGCTAATGGCAATTGTTCAGTCTAACAAAAGAAAAGTGCCACCTGTTATGGATTACTGTGAACTAAACGACCATGTGGAAGCGTACATGGCAAACACCGATGTGTGCTCTCAAAAACTGAGAGACTGGCGTAGGAAGGGGTCCGATGTGTTGGTGTTGGACTTAAGAAAATCCTACCTTCAGGTGCATGTGCACAATTCTCTATAGTTGTTCCAAACTGTGATGGTTAAAGGGCGAAGATACTGCCTAATGGGATTTGGGTTGAATGTAGCCCTCTCCGTGATGCAGTCGATCATGGAGGCTGTTCTGTCCAGAGATGTGACTGTTCAACAGGCGATGTTGGCATACATAGATGATGTGTACATCAACAACAGTGTGGTGCCCGCGGAGCGGGTATGACAGCATTTTTCCTGGTTTGGGCTAGAAATCAAGCATTCAGAGCAACTGTCTTGGTGCTTGGGTGCTTGGATTGGAAGTCTGGGGGGAGCGTGGCATTTTGTGGTGGAAGCGTGGGAGTGTGATTCCAGATATCCCAGAAGTTGTGACACATCATACCGTTTTCTCTCTATGTGGGAAGCTGATTGAGTGTGGGTGGCTCCGAGCAGCAATAGGAGTTATAAAGCGAAGGGCCAACGCCGTGACCCAAAGATAGGATGACACCACAGAGGATATCCCACTGCAACAAATGATCCAAGAAACAATAACCAGGTTGAAGCAGAGCGATCCTTCACAGGGCCTATGGTGTGTGAATGGATAAGATGTCAATGTATGGGTAGACGCAAGTCCCCTAGCGACCGGCATACTTCTGGAACATGATGATGTTGTGTTCGAGGATGTGTGTTGGCCGCGATCCGCGAATGATGCTCAGCACATTAACTTGGCCGAACTTGATGCAGTACTGAAAGGCATCAATCTGGCATTGCAATGGCAATGCAAAGTCATGCAATTAAAAACAGACTCAGTGAGCATGTATCACTGGCTAGTGGATACACTCACTGGAAAGACCCGAGTATGTACAAAGGCCACTAGCGAGATGTTGCTTCGACAACGATTGGAAACAAAGTTGCTGGTAGAAGAATATGGGTTGTCCATAGATGTTACTCTGATCTCATCAAGCCAGAACTTAGCGGACCCCATGACCCGGGTACCGCAAAGGTGGCTCAAGAGGATGAAATCTGTGACTGAGCCCGTACTTCTGGCGTGTGCTGTGAGGAGTGATGAAATGATAAGTAGTCAGATTATGGAAATACATAAAGGTAGTGGACACCCAGGCATCCGATGTACTGCGTATTTTGCCTGGCGGGTTTGCCAAGCAATTACCAAAGCAGATGTGAGGTTGGCTATCAGGGCATGTGAAGAGTGTCAGACAATTGATTCAGCCCCAGTTCATTGGACAAAAGGAAGATTAGTGGTAAAAGCTAATTGGCAAAAACTGGGGATGGATATAACCCACTACAATGGAAAACACTTCCTGATGATCACCAGATTGCGGTCCAACACATTTTACCATCTGGCAGCCATTGTTGTGCGGCAGGACTCCTGAAACATTATTCGACACCTTGAGTCTATGTTCTTTGAGTGTGGTCTGCTGCAGGAATTGTTGATGGACAATGACACTGCATTCTCCAGCAGTGAGTTCAAGGAGTTTGCAGCCAGCTGGGGAGTGGGCCCTGTGATTTCAGTGTGCCTATGTGCCAGGAGCAACAACATCGAACGATGCCACCGCAGTGTTAAACGGATTGCAGCCAGGATGGGATGCTCTGTTCAAGAAGCGGTATTGGGTACAATGTAGCACTCAAAGATGATACATCTCCATTGGCTGCACCTGCCAATGGAATCTACAGATATGAGGTCAGGATAAGGAATATCGACCCAGTAACAACGTCACCGGCCCCCACAGAAAACAGATACCTTTTGGGAGACTCTGTGTGGGTCAAAATGCCCCATTATCGATGCACTTCCAGATTCCAAGAAGGAACAGTGACAGAGGTGATCAGCCTGCAATCCATTGTTGTCGACAGTGTCCCACACCATATAAAAATGACAACCCCCAGACAAATGTCATCCCGTCTGGCGAAGTGGATGATGAGACTTCTCACAACACTGGATATAGCACAATGCCTAGCTGACAAACACCACAAAATAGAGAAATCACAGAACCACCCTTGCGACGAAGCACACGTCAGAGATTACCAACACGATCTTGCCCATGCTGTGATCATCAAGGATCGGGGGGAGTGTAACAAATAAATGAGTGAACATTTGACGAAGCAAACATCATGGCAGTGGACACAAAAATGGCAGTGTGCGTGCGCTACCAGACTGGGAGCGAGGCCTGTCTTCATTTGCATAAGTGTATGCCTCACTGGCATAAAAGCTGAGAGTTTGTGAGGGTAAAGGGAAGTTGTCAAGTTGTGTGAAAGTCACATGTGTTGTTCGTTTCGGTGTCGACTGCAGCATAAGACTGAGCAGAAGAAGACAGAGAAGAAAAAGACTTCAGCAATTTTCGCTAAAGACTGATTACACTTGTCTGGAAAACTTGAAATAAACACTGTCTTGGATTAATTTTTCTTCCTCAATTACTATATACTTGACCAGTTATGTAACCCTTAATGGCCAGTCAGTGAAGCTTAGTCTGTAGAGAGAGAAGCTATGGGTTAAATAAGCAGACTGGGTTTTCTAAGTAGCAACCTGTCTAAAAGAACAACAATACATTCAAAAACCAATCTGAAGAGAAATGGGCTCAGTCAGGTTATCTTGCATTAGACAAACACCTTGCTGCTACATTTGCAGTACATATGGTGCATATATGACTCTGATGGGTTATGAGACTCATGATTCTTATTCACAAGTATTGCCTCCCCTTCAATATGTTCTTTTTGTATGGTACCTCAACTGCAGTAACCTCAGTTATTTTCTGTTGCTATAGTAGGACATAAAGTATTTGCTTGGTTAACAAGGTTGCCTAAAGAATGCTAAAGGTGGCTGATTAAGTTGAAGTTGACTTCAGTATATATTTAGCTAATTTAATTCTGATAGAATAAAGTTTTTCAACTTATATATAGAAAAGGAGTGTTATTAAAAAAATTATGAAATATTAGAAAATATTCTGCCAATAAACAAAACATTATTAAGGTTTTATTTTTCAAGTTTTAGAATACATATTAAGAAGAAAACTAGCATTTGAAGATAAGGAGCCGAATTAGCATATATGTATCCTAAACTGTATTGAAGGTAAGTATAAAAATCTTTGTCTTTCAGAAATATTAATTGTATGCAAGCTCCATGCTTATTCTCTGCTGATGGCCTCCAACACTAAACGACACAAGTCAACATGTATATCTACAATAAACAGTTTTAAAAAATTCATATGCCAAAAATAAATGATTTAAAAATTTTAAATATTATTATAGATTACTTGGAATTGCATGCATGAGTCCCAGTATAAATATTAATAA